CTTGCAATTCCCAGTTTTCCTCAACCATGGTAATATGCGACACATGGATCAGTATTTATCTTGGTACAGATCGGTTAGTTCCCCTGAAATGCACGTGTCTCATCCAAGGTATTTGGTTGACCCACGAACACAATGGGCACAACCCTCATTTCCCCAACAACAAACCCAACACACATCAACCTCCCACCAACCCCCCGACGAAACAGAACCACAAACATCCAACCACAATCACCACCACAATACAATTACACCCACATGCCCCACAACCAACCACAATCACCACCTCAGTACCAATACCCACATATGCCTCACACCCAACCACAATTTCAATCACAATACCAATACACTCGCATACCCCACACACAATTTCAGTCTTCTGCATATCCCAATATGGGCCCCTCAACATCCAACCTTAGCCCTGATCTGGGATTGTCCGAAGATTATGAACCAACCGACCCAACTTACCATCAACCACAACATCACCAAAGCACTCAACATTCTCAATACCAAACACCCCAAGATCCATTTCCTTTCTACCCCCTGTACTCGGACGACCAGTGCTACAGACCAACCATGAAACCCCACCCACCACCAACACGACCAAACTTTAAGGGTATGGGCAACCGACTGTACCAAAGCGGACCTTCTAGATATAGAGATCTGACCGATTTCATGGATCCGGAATGCATTGACTTCGCTAGGCTATCGACCATGCCACAACAGGAAACGTGACGAAACCCAACACGGGATAGGCGAGGACGGGGATGCGGAACCGTGGGTCATTACCGGGTTCCGGGGGACCACTGATTAATCTGTATTTTTTTATGTAATCATTATGTGTGTAATTATATTGTGTAAATAAAAAGTCAATTTTGTTGATCCTATATTGTTTACGTAACACACCGTATTTAAAATAAAAAACGTGAAAAATCTCCTCCCAATTGCACTAAGGCGCCATCTCACTTGGCTTAGGGCAAGCCTTTCACACCTACGCGCCAAGTGAGATGGCGCCTCCCATTTAAAATAAGGTGTAGGCGCCAACTGGGTTGGCTCCTCCCTTGTGGGGTTTTCTGAAACATGGTTATTTGCATAATTTTCTCCGAAACATGGTTATTTGCGAATTTTTTTTAATACCTAGTTATTCCAAAAAAAAATTCAATGTTTTTGTTCTTTTGATTTTATAAAACAAAATAAAATAAATAAGTGTAAAAAATAATAAATAAAATATTTTTTTGGGTTTTTATTAATAACAATAAAAAATAATATTAATAATAATACTAATAATAATAATAATAATAATAATAAAGAAAATAAAAAAATAAAAAAAAATGGGCCAGGATGTATGAAAGTGAAACAGGGAGGTGATGCTGATTCAACAAAAAATGAAAAAATGAAAAAAAAATGTGAAAATTGTAAAAGGTCTCGCTGGGGCTCGAACCCAGGACCTTATAATACGCGCGCGCTTCTTGTACCACTGAGGTGGTCTGTTTCATCCTTCATATAATAAAAGCATAAATATATATTATAAACTACTTCCTGAAGACAACTTCATCTTCAACCTCGCGCCTAGCCAGACCACCTGGATCTTGTTCATTTCTCATCCATTTTCAAAAGTGTAAACATGAATCTTGTGGCAAATTTCCTCACGATTTCAGAAATGTAAAGCATTAAAACTATAGATCAAAGACAAACATGAATTTTATTGGCCCTAATATGAACCCTAACTTTTCCAGAAACTTCAATCTTAAAATTCTCTAAGCTCAAGCAACATAAATGAAAACTACATACATGGTTAGCTTTAGGGAAATGATATCTACATTTTTCATTCACAAATTAAATATTAATGATGCCTATATGAAGATTTCAAAAGTCAGAAAACTCACTTTGCAAGAGGGTATCGTGTTTTGAGTTTGAGCAACTTTTGATGAGTTCCAGTTATTGGGTTAGCTTCCTCAAACTCCCAGGAAGCTAATGTGATGCTTGGCTTGAGTTGAAAGTGGCTGAGGAGTTCTGGAGAAGTCAACTTGCAGAGCTCTGTTTTTGGTTATGGAGTTGATGAAAATGGAGTTACAGTTATGAAACAGGGTCAGGGATAGGTTATATTTTATGGGTAAAAGCTTTGTGATTGATTAGGAAGGAAAACGCACGAGGGAAATGAGAGATATAAGTTTAAGGTCAGAATTATGAATCAATGGAGTTTCTTGTGTAAATTCTGGCTTGAGGGAGTTTTGGTGTGTTTCAGGGTGCTTAAGCTTGTGCTAGCTCACGAATAGTACTTCTATTTATAAGCAATAAGTTTGGAAGCTTGTTGTTGATCAGAATTCAAAATCACAAGTTTAAGCATAACATGTGATTTTTTTGAGAAAACCAAGTTTCAAAGTCTTGTGTACTTTCTAAGATTGAGTTGTTATGCTTTAAACACACTTGATTCTGACTTTGTAGATGTAGTGTGATCAGAGGGAACAAGTTAGAGGCTCAAGAATTGACTTTGTATATAAAGCTTGCTTTTCAAGAATGGTATTTTTCACTTTCTTCCCAAAATGGCAATGTGAATTGGATAAAGCTTAAACCACTTGGATTATAGATCAAAAGTTTGTGTAATCCATTAATGATGGATAGATACACAAGTTATAAGGCCTGAAAAACAAGATTATGCAACCTAACATTGAAATTGCATTATGTGTTCATCAAGATATGACTTGTAATTCAAGAATGAAACCCTAACTTCTTAGCTTCGATTCTCCTTGCTCAAACATGATCTCAAGAAGTTCTTGGATATTTTAGAAAGATTGTAATATTCTATACAACCCCTCTTTGAATCACTTTTGAAAATTCCCATTAGAACTATGTGAAAAATTGCCATGAAGTTAGGTCAAAATCCTGCCTAAATTAGGGCAAAATTTCACTAAGTTTCCAAGTTTCATGAACATGTATTCACAAAATTATAACTTGAAATCCATGAATTTCTAGGAGAAGTCTTGTAAAGAAATGTTTTAGATCTCATTGAGATATACAACTTTCATGTTGAAAGTTTCCTTTGAATCATCTTGCCTCATGGTGAAAAATTGGCTCAAAGTTGTGAAAAAATATGAAGTTTTCAATACTTAGAAAAATTTCTAAGTTTGGAAAATTTGACTTTTCGAAATGAAATCTTGACTTTTTGATTTCTTGATGAACAAGTTTCATATTTTGACATATTTTTATTAATTGTGATCTTTGACACTTGATTTTGACCAAAAAGTCAAAGTTTGACTTTTCAGTGTGTAGTTGACTTTTGATCAGTTGATTGAAAATCAAATATCAAAAGAATGACTTTGAGCAATGTTTTGAGTCATTTCATTAGGTCAAAATGATTCAATTGAATCCTTGAGATCATGTTTCCAACCAATCAACCACTTGCTAGGTCAAAAATCAAAAATTGCCTTTTCTCAATCAAAACCCTAATTTTGACCATTTTGCCCTTTTGATGATCTGATCAAATTTCTTGAGGAATTATGGTCCAAACTTGATTAAATGACATATATGAGTTCACAATGTTGATATGGATAAAAAATTGAAGTTTGACTGTAAATTTCCCACAATTGACTTTTTCCCCAATACAGTTGATTTTTAGGTCAACTGATCAATTGACTGAGCAAAAATGTGATCCAAGACTTGAAACTTGACATGAGAAATCTCGAGGGTCCATTATGATCCATGAAAGTCATATTAAGCATTAAAATTTCAATTATCCTTGTGCAATCTCAAACCCTAATTTCTGTCATCAGTGCTTAAGGAGGTGTCTTGAGCTGATCAACCCTAGTGCAGTTTTGAACCAAAGGAGATCTTGTGAGAAATTTCTTGATAAATGAGAGGGAAAATTTTGGGGTACAACAATGATCAACAACAAAAATCCCCTTCATACATCTCTATTCCTACTTCTCATGGCATTAGAAAGCGGTAAAGCGTGAAAGTAGTAAAAAGGAAAAGAGAATACCAAACGAGCAATAGTTCGTAGCACAACAAGCAAAAATATAAGAAACCTAAAGAACTTCGATCAAGATATAATCCACAACAAGATACTAGTTAGAAATCGGAAATGTGAAAATAAATCACATGCGCAATGTGTGCATCAGAAGCATTTGTATCACAAACAATACACTTGCACGAGAATTCACAATCCAGAAAAAAACACAAGCAAAGTATGTTTCTCATGTAATGAGAATTAAGATAAATCGCGTTGGAAGCGAATATTAAATTCAAAAATAAAGTGGAATGCAAATGCTTTTCAATCGAAATAAATGATCGAAAGCTTTTCTTGAAATTCCTTGGACATGTCAACAAATGAGTCAAAAATAACAAAGAAATGATTATCGAAGTTTAAGCATCTACTAATTAATTTCTAAAATCAATTAAAAATCTAACAAGTTTTTATTTCTTTTATAATTTTTTGTCATGAGAAAATAGAAAAAATCCAAACAATTAACAACTTTATACAACAAAATTTTCAAATTAAAAAAGAAAGGCCCAGAGGATGCAGACTGTACACAATGCTACTGTATAGCAATCCAAATTCTGGTTCTAAGCCCAGTCCATGAAGTATTTTTGTTACAAAAATGGGCTTAAGAGGGAGGTGTAGAAGTGATCTGGGCGCTAGGCCCATGCAGCTTTTGAGTGCATAATACTATTTTTGTTTGATTGCTTACCTGCTACCAAAAAAACTAATGGGCTTAGAGAATGGTGGCTGAGTGGAAACAGGCGGTAGGCCCATCGTGCAATGACCAGTAAGCCTTTTTTGTTCTAATAACTCTTCAGCTCTAAAAAAAAATAGTATAGACTTGTAGGAGGAAGTTCAGCGCATGAGCCCAAGATGCATTCTCAATCCAAAGACACCATTTCCAAAATTCTGCAATTGTTTTGATTAAAAAAACAAATAAAAATAATTGTATAAAAAAACGATTAAACAATGCAGTATTGGTGTAGATAGGGTTGTGAGATTTTGTGACTCCCAAACTTCTCAAATGCAAAATCCCTCTTCTCTCAAAGGAAAACAAAATCCACCGCACAGCCTTCATCTTCGATCAATGCACAACGGGCGTCCGTGTCCGACACCATTCTTCTTCCTCGCCTATTCAATTTCAAAGTAGTGTCGCCGATCCTCTCAAGTTTGTTTCCATCTCACAATCTCACCTTTTTCCGCTTGCAACAAGCTCAAACCTTCCTCTCTGAATTCATCGTGAACAGAAACCCTAACGTACTCACTATGCCAGCGATTCAAGTGGCAATTTATGGGGGCTTTACTTCTAATCTTCACTTCTACCAATTCTCATCAAGAAAAGCAGAGAAAGAGATAAACAAAATGTGTGTGTGTTGCTTACCTACCGGGAGAACTGTCGGAGCTTATTCAACAATCGTTGCAACGACAAGAAATCTAGAGGTCAATTCTTTAATCTATTCTTCTTATTCTATTTTTTGTCTTAACTTCTGCGATTTTGTGATGTTATTGTTGATTCTGTGCAACTCACGATATTTATGAAACATATCGAAAATCCGAGTCGATGATGATGATGCAAGGTTGCAGATTCGTCGTTGTTGCAGATTTGTTGAAACACCAGTGACGATGATTGAAATTGTGCATTGATAATTGCAATATGAAGCTCTGCGAATTGAAGGTTGTTGAAGTTGTGTTGATGATGAAGATGAAGCTGTTGTGGTGGTTCGTTGAAAGATTTGGTTATGGTGATGGAGGCGTGAGGAAGATGACGAAGTGCAGTTGTTGCGGATAAAGGGAGAAGAGAAGGTGCAGAGGTTCAGAAGGTGGATAAAGATGGAAGTGAAAGGGATGAATATTACAGATAGGGAAGAAGGAAGATAAGAGTGAAGAGAGAGTTTTTGTGATTCTTTCCACAATTGAAGAAATTCCCCAAATCTGGTGAGTTTTTCTGTCTTTTATAATTCTGTTAGTTTGTTAGGAAAAGTTAGTTACAAGGAAATGATTCCCTTCCCTAGGATCTGAGAAATCAGTTGCAAAATGAATGATGAGATTGGAGGTAGTTAGAGTTGTTAGAGAGTTAGTTATTAATGTTGTTAACTATTAGTTATAAGTGGTTTTTTTAGTTAAGTGGGTTCACTGGTTTGTATTTTCTGAACCGATTTATCAGATTGTATTGCTTCGTGTAGACTGACTTTGCAAGCTGAACTAGTATAGCATGAGGTCATGACTGCTTCAAGATTCTTTTTTTTCTGAACAGGTTTTGTGTGATATAAATTGCATGGTTGGTTTCCATGACTCAGGTTAGGAATTATATCGCTAGGCTTGTGTTTAGGCTTGGTTTCAGGTAAGGAAGAGGTTAATTATGTGAGTTGGAACTTAAAGCTTGTTGAATGTGATTCGATCTCAACTTCCATCTTTCTGCTTTGATCATTTGGATTTGGTTTTGAATGTAACAGAAGGTGTGAGTTTTATGTAATGTAGTTCACTTGTTTAAACTATTTTGAATTGATTCTGATGATTGCGTATTTTTTCATCTAACACAAGTTCAATTTTCCAAGCATGTCATGTTCGTAATTTGCTCTCAATTTGAGTATTAGCTTGATGGTGAATAGATTTTGTGCCCAGCAGTTGGTTTTGTGTGTCTTTGATCAGCTTGGTTAAAGCATGTTTAGGGCAGATTTTGAACCATGTTTGGCAAGGAAAACGGGACGCGAAGTTTGGTGAAAGCATGGAGTTGTGGCCTTAAGAATTTAGAGCTTTAGGCTTAGAAACATATAATTAAATTCCTTGTAATCATTTATTTTTGTATGCTTCAAGCATGTAATGGCACCATGTGTACATGTAATAGGATAAACCTTATATTGTCTTGTAAGCAAACTTGTTCCATCTTAACTTTTTTAATCTGAACTTCTTTTCTTTCCCAATCTTTAAACTGTTTCAAATCTTGAATGATAATAAGTTGGTCTTGGCATTACTTTGTAATAAGCTACATGATATCTTGAACTTGTATTTGAACTCGAGTGAACGAAAGGCACTTGAATGGATTCATATGCCTTTTGAATAAGATTTGATGAACCTTGTTTAAACCCTTAAATGATGTTTGATTATTTGAATGGACTCGAATCAATACTTGAATGATGAATTGCATGATGTTTGAATCAAGTTATGTACCTTTCATAATTCCACCATAATTGAACTCCAATTACATGCTTGAAATGATATTGTCAATCAAAATCTTGGCTTTATGTTATCAAAATACAAATGAATCCAATGTTTGCACCAACCATAATGCTTGCCTTATAACTCAAAACAAGATCTTGAGTCAATACTTGGATCTTAATCAAATGTTATGTCGTGCTTGAATTTCATAAAAAAACCTAATTCAATGTTGAAGTTCATATTGTCCACACCTTGCACTCCAAACCAAAGACACCTCTTTGAATCAAACCTCAAAGCCTTAATTGATTGTGTTATGGATAGATGAACCCAAACTATATTCCCCTTGTGCGAAAACCATGGTCTACACTTTGTAGACCAAGCCACGAATGCACCTTGAATTGATGAAATATGGATCCTCAAGAGAAATCTTAATGCACCTCTTGTATTGACAAAAAAAACTTGACCAAATGATAAGAAAAATCATAGAAAGCCGTCTTGATTCAAAGACCATGTATGCTAGGTCACACCCTTGAGTTCTTGACAAGAAAAACCATGCAACTTGATGTTCAGATGAAGAGAATAGCCTTGTTTCTTGATGGAGAAGAAGTCCAAACTGAACATGAACCAAAACCCTGATTCCACAGTCTTGTACACCCAGAAGAACCAAAATAATCAATCTTATTCGACATATACTCCTCAAATCAGTTGTGAACCCTATCTTCATAACTACCAATCTTTTGAACCTCAAGTGCTCTTTTGAAATGCAAAGTGTATGCTATATTAGTGACCTAATGAAAAGAAGCGAATGCGACGCTAAGCCTAAGTCAGATAAAAAGTACAATTGGGAGGGTAAGTTTTGGGGTACAACAGCGCCTTCCAACACAGGCAGTGTCAGGTGACACGGGCACCCGTGTTGGCCCTCTTCCTTTTTCATTTAAATTACCAAGTATCATGCCTATTGACACAGGCAGTGTCAGGTGACACGGGCACCTGTGTCACACCCTTGACTTCTCCTATTTCTGGCTTCGTCCTAGCTATCATCCTGAGATGACCCGTTTCAGGTGACACGGGGGGCCGTGTCAGGCCTCATGTAGATGGATATTTGTATTTCTTCTGAAACTTTGAGATTTGTACCGATTTGTCCCGATTTAATCTTTTGAACCTAAAAACAACAAACTACACAACCAACGCATAAAATATAGAAGAATTAATTAAAACACTTGACAAAATAAATAAATGATAATTAAAATCAACTGTAAATAAAGGTGGAAACTCTTCAGTAGTTCCAATAATATTTATGTCATCCACATTGACAGCTATTATTGCAAATTCTATTTCAAAACTTTTTTTTGTAAAAATATAAGGACATATGGACTTGTTTGTATATATCTCCATAAGAAAATACTTATTGAGACAATTATACCACATATGTCCATATTGTTTTAGCCTATAGAGATACTTGTTCAATTTTATGTCCATATAAGTTACTCATACAAATAAGATGTTACAACTTCCATCATGTTCAAATCAAGCCCTTCATGTGCTACAAGGCTAATTAATTATCGAAACTTAATAGAATCCACTACAGGTAGATATGGTTCATCAAACTCGATCTTAGGTCTTTTTGAAAATCATTCAGAAAAACATCAAGCTTTATATCTTACAATTTCACCCTTCTTATTTCACTTTTCACAAAAACTCATTTATATCAAATTGGTTTCACACCTCGAAGTCTTCAGACTACGGGTCCAAAAATGATTCTCTTTTAAAGCGAGTTTAATTATTCTTGAATTAAATCTATTTATTTTGGTAAATTTTCACTTTGTCTATAATCTTGGATAGACTTTGATTCACGATCTTTTATTTTTTGTAATTCTCTCATTGTCTACAATCTTTGGGACTTTGTTTCACGATCCTCGTTATCGTTTATCATCTTTAGTGCTATATATTGTATACAAATACATTGTCAATGTCGACTTTATTTGGTTATCTTAATTCCGGTTCTATTCCATTTCATCCATGAATAATTTATCGAGATTTCTTTATTTCATATTTAAAGTACTTGATTAGTTCTTCTGGAACTGAAAAATAAATTATGTCAAAGTGCTCTTAGAATTTTCATATCCTCACCTGGGTCATCTTTAAATTTAGTTTCTTTTCTTGGTAGAAGACTTTTAACATTGGAACTGACTTTTCTACCACGCTTCAGGCGCGACTACAACTCATTTGCAATATTAGATTGTCCAATAAGAAAATCCATTTTGAGTGGAGTATTAGCAGTTGATAATTTGTTTCATAGACTTTATAAATGAATTTTGTTTTAAACTTCGGGGATCAAATAATATAATAATATTTTATTTCAAAGTGTTCATTTGAACTTCTAGTTCACACTTTCAGCTGCTTGTTCTCTCCCTTAATGTTGGGAAAATTAATTTATCAATCGATAATCAACCTATTGGGCTTCAAGCACATATCCAATTATCGGACCAACATAAACCTCAAATACGATATTCATATAAAATGAATTTTCTCAATATTCTTCCAAAACTCATCTTAGTGTACTATACTGGAGCAATTGAATTATACACAACACATCCATAAGTTTACTTAGGTGAGAAGTATTAGGTTATTAACCTAAAATAATTTGTAAGTTAATGGGAGAATTAATATATGATAACTTGTTGGCTTAATGCGAATAAATATATGAATATTCATGGTTGTGTGTTTCCAATTTATAATTTATTACCTATGATTTCATAAGTATTGTCCATGTAATTAACTTTAGACGTCTAAAGAATGAATCTTCAAGTCCATTTTTTATGAACATATGCTATAAGATGTTTAATATCAAATTTAATAATATATGTGATACTTATCAAGAAAATTTTGAAAATTTCAAAAATTTAGATCTTAGTATGAGAAAACAACTTCAAAAACTTTTGGTTGTGAGTAGACAATAAATACTTGCATGATATTTTAATCGATTCAATAATTAATGTCATGAAAAACTCAATTTCTTAGAATTTTATTTTCATTTAGAAACACAAAATTTATTGGATTGAAGAAACTTCTAGTTCTTCAATACTAGTTTTCACATCATAATATATATTCACAAAATTCTGGTTGTAAGTAGAAAACAAACATATACATTATCTTTTAGTCGATACAAAAATTAATATCGTAAAATATTTAAATCGTCTACATGATTTGTGTATTGATTCACAAATATCACCTTACATATGTTATATAAAAACTCAACTTATAAAATTTTAATTTTCTTTAGTAACATACAAAACTTATTGGATTCAAGAAACTTCAGGTTCTTCAATACTAATTTTCGCATCATAATACATTCGAGATGAACCAACTGATTTTGCCAACAACACTTAAGTGTGATTTGTAAACTTCTAATTTACAATAATACATACAATTCTATTCTTGTAATTTTTATCAA